TCCCACTGCTCAGCCAGTCCTGAGATTGTACTGGTTTGCTGGAGCAACAGAGTGTCACAGGCTTTGTGGTGTAGTTAATAAAACTTGGCTTTCTGACAATTCCAGAAGTTTAAAGTCTAAGAAAAAGAGGCAGCAATGCCTTTTGCCTCTTCATCGGGCTGTGTGTGGTCTTCCCTCTGGCTGCCTGTCATGTCCTCTTCTTAGAAGAGGTTGCTTGATTAGTGCCAGTCATAATAGAGCAGAGTCGACCTCTTAAAAGGGTGTATATCCAGACACAGCCACACTCCCAGGTGCTAGGTATTAGGATTTCAACATACAAATTTTAGAGATGCAAAATTCAGGCTGCAACAGACCTCTGTAAGTTATCTGTAATTTATCGTCAGTCCATAAAATCAATCTCATCCTTTGGTGTATTCACTTTTATGCTGCCACCCACCTTCTCTTTGTTTTGGTGGCTACAACCTTTTCTTTAGTTTAAGTTCATCAAAAGCCTAAAATCTTATGAGAAAGGTTCTCAGTAGAGCCATAAAATGACATTTAAAATAAAATGTGTCTAATAACATATAAAAGAGTAGACTGCAAACACAACGCAACACACGTAACCAAGTATTTTCCCTATCGACATATACGTACACAACTGTGCACATATGCTTGTTTTTTTCATTTGTTTGTGCTTCACATAATTTCACACAGGCATTACTCTAGGCTGATGCTAACCACGTGTACATACTGGATTTGGCAATAATGTCGTTGCTTGCTATCACTAACTTAATGTCCTTGTATTCTTACCCCATCCTGACATTAGAGCACAAATCCAACACATGCTCTGAACCACGCTGCAGGTTCCACAAATATGTTCTTATTTTCTCACTTAGAGCTAAAATTCCTAAGCAGTGTTCAAAAACAAAGCACCAAAACCAAACTTACATAGCCCAGGAAATTTCATATTTACATGGTTGCTACTAGATTTTTCTTTAACTTATGCTTTTAGCTTGATAATTTGTGGTTAAAAGTGGCAGGTGTGTGCTTTTCACTTCAGGAAATACAATGGCCTTTTCAGAGACATTCCTGCAGAGTAAAGGTTCATAAAAGTGGCGGGGTATAGTCCAGAGATATTTCTTCAAATCATGTGCTCTGAGGGTATTCTACAGTAAGCAGAAGTTTCCTATCACCCAGGACTACTTGTAGCTCGAACATTTACAGAAAATAACCCCTACGTCAGAAAATATGACTCCTATGAATTTTTTTAAACAGTTGGCAGTGCTCTATTTAATTTCCCAGACTGACTCTTTCATGACCTAAACCTCAAAAACCATCCATCAGACTCTAACTGAATGTGACAGGTAAGAACAGCCACAGGCATTGCCGTGTATAACCTGTGCAGGATACAAAATGCGAAGATGTTTTCCCCTTTAACACATGAGGAAAAGGTATGAAAGATTATTCTCATTAATAGCTGACACTCATTTCGGTCGTCCTCCGTGGTTAAAGCGGATCATTAACTACTAGAGACAGGCACCATGGCTCAGTAAACCCTGTACCACCTGTCCCCATCCCCCTTGCCGTCCTGCTGGCAAGCTCCTACCAAGGACAGTAAGTGGCCACAACTACACAGGTTGCCATGGAAATAACTCCCATCCTGTCAGAAGCAGGATATGTCTTTCAGCTTCAAGACGTGCATGACATCAGTCAATCTTTAAATCCTGTTCAGTAAAATTCGTTAAGACACGATAAGAACTGAATCTTCTCCAGCCCAGACTTCCACCTACACTCAAAATCTCAAGAGCCTCAGGATTCTACCAATGGATCCCCCTCCTGTTAACATGCTAGTGCTGTGTCGGTCCAGCTGGGCAGCACAGTCCTGAGACATTTGCACGTTTATCATTGCTCAAACGTCCTGCTTCCAGAAGTCATTTTCCTTAGCATTTCATGGAGAGGATGATTATAGCCGTATGATTTCAGTATTTCACAAAACAAAGCAGCTTCTCCCTCCCAAGACACTGTCTTTGGATTTATATCAAAACTAAGGTCCAGAAAGTTCAACATTCAAAATAAGGCCACAAGATGTTTTTAGTTGAGGGATGGATAGGGAGACAGCATTTTATAGAAATACATCTTTAAAAACCTATGTCAGTTGTCTCACTTAGGAAGAGCCTCCTCAACATTTTCAAATATGTTTGTAAATCCTTTGCAAGGAAGTCCTAAAGGTCCCGTACGTGGGAAGTTATCAGAAACCTCTTTCCATTCTCCCATCTTTTGTCCATACTTTTCTGGATTTTCTCCATGTCAGTGGTGGAAAGTCATTTAAAAAGACTCTCATAACCTCACTTACCACTTCACTTTTGTTGGAAAACAACTTCTTGGATAGACAATTTGGGTCAATTTATATAAAAAGATTTGAATAAACTGCAATTCTCAGGTATAATTTTTTTTGCTCTGTACATGTATTTAGACTGTAATTGAATGTTTTCATATGTCAAAAAATATGGTTTTTTTCACTTACACTTTTTTTCCTGGATTTATTTACTAAGAAGGAGAAAAAGCAGACACTGCCATTTTATTTTTTTTGTTTTGTTGTTTTTTGTTGTTCTTGTTTTTGATACTGGGGATTGAACTCATGACCTCAAGTTTGCCAAGCAGGAAGGACACAGCCATTTTAAACATACAGGACAAATGATACGGGTAGTGAACCACATGACTTAATCATCTTTGTGTCTTTCAAGTTCTTCCATTTTTTTTATTTACTTTTCTTCACTTATGTAAACCTTTCTGATCACCCTATATTGAGAAGTATTATCTAAATGGCTGGAATACATCAAAACAATCAGAGTTTTTTTATATTCTGGCATGGGAAAACAAAAAGTAAAGTAAAACTTAAGAAAGAAATTCACATTTCATTTGCTCCTGAAAACAAGGAGCAAATTAATGGTTTCTGAAAGGACAGATTTGATTTTTAAACAGGCTGGTCAAAATGGGGGTCACAGAAGAAAACAAAATGACAGTCGACAAAAGACTCCAAGGAAATGAGCAAGTTAACCAACAAGAATAATTGGTGAAAGAGTGTTGGAGACAGACAAAGAAGCCAAGAGAACGTGCGGGGGAGCCTACCAGGAGCTTACCAGGGGCAGTAGACTATTCCTGTATTTATGAATGAAACTCGCAGGAACCAGCTTCATTCAGCCTAATGTCACTGCAGCCTCCGTGAGCAGACGTGCTTCGGTCATTCACTTTCACAATAAACAAGCACAACCTCAAAACATTGTTCTCAGTTGTATTGAAATATATTTTGTACTCACCACCTTCCTATGCCTTTTAACAAAGATTTTACATTTTCACTTTTGTCATGATAGTGTGAGCTTCAAAGTAAGGTGCTTCCTCTATCATTATATTTCCCACTATGATTTTCCACACTAAATTCATATTCAACAAATGTTTTCAACTAGAAGGAGGAAAAGAAGACTGCAGAGTCTGAATTTTAAGAGCCTTCCATTCACTTAGTTCTGGGAGTCACAGTGGTGAAATCTTTGCCTCAGAGTCTCCTATGCAATTCAAAGACAATAACTTGGTAAACAGAAATGTCAGTTAAAATGTGGCTCTTACCTGGATTCCACAAATATGTAAATATAATAAATACAAGACAACATGCCGGAATATGAATGCTTTTCTTTAGGAAAAAAATACAATTTGATGAATCCTGAGAAAATCAAAGGACCTTCCATAGGTGCCCAATGATGGCATTCTGGGAGCTGTTGACCTGGATTTTCCGCTCCAGTGGCCGTTCTCCATCGGGTCAACTTACTCACCTGGATTGTACAGTCGTTCAGCCCTAGGGGAACCCTGGCTTTCCATGATGATCCGTTTCCTGCTTTGCCTATTTCTAGAACAGTATCTCTCATGACTCTTAACCTTGCCAACTTTCATCAGAATTTGCAACTTACAGTCAAAGGACAAGATCACTCCATAAATAATGTATTCTCCTAGTTCTCAGTGGCCGCATAGGACTTGCTCTGGTTTATTAATCTGACTTCTCATAGATCCTCAAATTATTTTAATATACCTTCTCCTAAATATTGTATAATTTCCAGATCTATAAGACTGATCAAAGATGAGCTAGATGAATGAGATAATCAGAAAATACTATACATAAAGCCACACTCTTTGGTGTCTTCGGTGCCTTTGATTCTAGCTTTCTCATATATAGACACAGACTAAAAGTACACAGAATACCCTCTCATACAAGCTCTCATACAAATACTGCATTGCCATTTGCCATTCATATATTCTGTATTTACTGAGCTTCATGTATATAACCATGAGCGTGGGATACTATGGTCCAAAATGGTGAAATCACAGGAAATGACTTATGCTTCCCAATTATAAGTCAGTTGAATAAGCCAATTGCCTACTTGGATGTTCTTGGACTAGTGTATTTATAATCAGTATATATAGCAATTTTTCCAGTAGAAGAAAAACCAAGTTAATTCAGATGTTTGCCTAATGAGTGTGATGTGAAAGAAATCTTAATAGCCTTAAGCTACAACCAGAGTATAATAAATAATAGAACACTGCCCAGCCCTTGCCCTTTACTGTGCCCACACAGTGACTCAGTTTCCCTAAATATAACGTCTTCGCTCTTGTACAGTCTGAGTAGCACAGCCAAATCCTAGCTCGGCTTTCATCTCCCGTAGATCCCATGGGCTTTTGCAAACCCTTCCTCCAGGCTAATTAAAGTATATTTGATTGTGTTTAAGCTAATGCCACTCCACTAGGTAGGTACAGATGCAATCACAACACACTTCCTGAAATTTCACCTTAAATACTTTCCATGTATAATACCTATGTAATATATCTATGTTGTAACCCTCACTATTTTAATGTACTGACTAATGTTTAGACATGCTGTATATCTTCGATAGAAAACTATGATTTGCAGCAAGCCATTAAAATTATTACATGCAATGAATTTTTAATTTACCAAAAAATGATATTTTTCTTTTCAGGTTGTAAAAATGATGATCATCGTTGTGGTGACCTTTGCCATCTGCTGGCTGCCCTATCACATCTACTTCATCCTCACCGCCATCTATCAGCAGCTGAACAGGTGGAAATACATCCAGCAGGTCTACCTGGCCAGCTTCTGGCTGGCCATGAGCTCGACCATGTACAACCCCATCATCTACTGCTGTCTGAATAAGAGGTAAGAGCAGGGCTGCCAGTGCAAGGTTGATCCCTCCCGCCTTCTCTAAGAGCATCTGTTGGCCCAGTTTCTGTGTGTTAATTTAATAGATAAAAATAAAGGAGACTGCAAAAACTCACTAAAAGGAGTACAGAGCCTGGGTTTTTAAGATTCCCTCCTGCTTTATGAAAATTATTTTTTCAAAACAGTATTCCTAGAGGTTCTAATGGGGTGATATCTCTATGGGCCAGCTTCTTCCTCCAAACTCTTCAGAATCTTACATGCTAGAGAGCGAGGTGCCCCGTGATGGAAGGCAGGGACCTGAAATTGTGTTTAATTCCACAAGGCAAGGAGGTGCGTAATTTCCATAAGATGAGGAGGATTGGCATGATCAAGTGGGGTGGACTGGAAACGATCATCTGTACAGACTTCAAATCAGCTGGCTGCAGGAGGGGGTAGGAGCAGCGTAAGGGAAAGATGTTTGTGGGGACATAAATACTCAAATTTAATTCCAGGATAAAAGGTGGTATGGCATTTCTAGCTTTAAGAAAAGAAAAACCACCCTTGTTTAGTGTGTTTGACACATAAATTTCTTACAGTTGACAATTCTCTTAATAGGCCAGTGTATATGGCGCTGATACTAATGGCTCCTCCTGGAAGTTAACTGAATGAGCTAAGGCGCATGCTCTTCTCAGTGGGAGCTGCACCACACTGTGCCCCAAGTTGGTTAAATACTTAATTAGTTCAATTAACACTCAGTCTTCTTCACTAATTACAGAGGTTGTATCTTGATTTAAGCCACCCACGAGCAGCACATCTGCTTTTAATTGACTTCGTGTGATTTACAAAGATGACGATTTCACACTTCATGTATAATCAGATAATAGCCATAAAGATTAATAATTAATTCTCACATTAAATGAGACTTTCATTATAAATGTGCAATTTTTCTGGAGAAGCTAGTTTGTTATACAGTGTATAAGCCAGTTTTAAGTGCTTTACGGATCCAGCCTAATTCAATCACAGTAACAAAACATATAAAAGCATGGCCTACTGATAACCTGACATGTGCCTGTGCTAGGCAGTGACTTGCTGGTCACTGATGGAAAGCTAAGATCTTATTAGAGGAGGAACATAGAAGCCCAGGGCCCAGATTCTGAGTTTGCCTAGAAGTCAAGTTCCCAAGCAGAGCTGGCTCACGTGGCTTCAGCAGGGTGTCAAGGCACCTCAAGGACTGTCCCCTGGGATGTAACCTGACATTTCTGTGGCCTCTTTCTCTTCAGATTTCGTGCTGGCTTCAAGAGGGCCTTCCGCTGGTGCCCTTTCATCCACGTCTCCAGCTACGACGAGCTGGAGCTCAAAGCCACCAGGCTCCACCCAATGCGACAGAGCAGCCTATACACAGTGACAAGAATGGAGTCCATGAGCGTGGTATTCGACTCCAACGATGGGGACAGTGCCAGGTCCAGTCACCAGAAGAGAGGGACGACCAGAGACGTAGGCTCCAATGTCTGCTCCCGCAGGAACTCCAAGTCCACCTCCACCACAGCCAGCTTCGTGAGCTCCTCCCACATGTCGGTGGAAGAAGGCTCTTGATTTCTCTCTGGGGTCAAGGCCACTGCAGGCACCCCTTCTCCTGTCACTGCTGCTGTCTCTCACTCTCTGGAAGCTGAAGGACAGTTTTTAGACAGCTACGCTTACAATAAGACAGATTGCACATAAATATAACAAAAATACTACTAAGATATGAGCTCTCCCCCCAAAAAAAGAACAAAATGGGCTTTAAGAGTATGCCTTGAAAACTCTAAATTATTAATATGATACAAACAAAAATATAGATCCGAGAAATATTTATAAAGTGTCCAGTTTTGCTTATTTAAAAGTCACTGTGCACATTTGTGACACTGATATGGTAGTTTTTTCCCAAAATATTAAAGTTTAAAATTTAATACTGTCAGTGAAGAGAAGCCATGTTTTCCATTACAGACATAGAATGGAAAAGTTAAATGACTCATTTTCTTACAATAGTGATGGAAATTTAACCTCAAAAACTAACAATTAACGAAATCTCAAGAAAACCTATTTTGTACCATAACAATTTTCAAAGACATTTAAATGAAAAGGAAACCTAAATCAAACCACTAGGCTTATCTAAATGCCTTTCTCTTATTTTTTTCTGAGAAAATGATTTCAAAGGAAAAAAATGTAGCTTTGATTGTTACATATTTTAAATGCCAAGTTAATATGTAGTTAAACTTAAGACCTTAAAAGGACAAACAAAATTCCTATGATCCTCTATTTTTCAGAATTTTGTTCTAAGTAGGTAAGTTGTAAGACATTAAATATACTTTCTGAGATGGAAGGAAAGAATCCCATTTGTCTCTGTAACTGGCTGCTAGCCTTTAGGCAGGAACCACCCACAGCCTCACGTAGCCATGAAGGTGGACAGGAACACCTCCCAGCTCCAAGGCAGTTGTTTTTCCCCTGTACCCCAGCAAAAGTTCCAGACATGCACTTTATCAACCATATCGTGTCCTCCTCCTCCTTCATCAAAGAAGGAGTGTGGGCATGGGGGAAGGATCAGAATGCGTCTTGTGAAAATCCTGAGAGGAAAAAGTTGTAAGAATTATGAAAGCAAATATAGCTGATGAAGTTAATATACATGTTGGAAAATCAGACAGGAAGTAGAAAGTTGAGTCAACTCTTTGAAAGATGTACCATAGTTTGGGTCACCCGTCAGGTGAGTGACAATATTACCCTGCTGTTCCACACAGAGACCTGTACGCTCTGCATAGGTAACCCTTGTCCCTCCAGAAAGGACGGGAAAGAGGCATTTGTTTTACTACAATAGTATATTTTTTGAGAACCATATTTGTGAGTGTTTTATGCCTCAATCTTGAAGCATGAACCTTTCCTTAAATTAGGAATACTGTCAATCCTGCTCAAGAAATCACAACCCTTCTGGAAATCTAAATGTGTTATATAAACTTCTGTAAAATATTGTTAGGTTTTGAAAACTGTCTAAAATAATTATCTCTAACATTTATTTCATTGCTATGCCTTCCTTAGTGTCAGAACCAAATAACTTTTCAAAGATCAGCATAAAAGCAATTATCCAATGACAAGTGATGGTCTATTGTTACCCTGATATTAATCTCCCAATCCTGCTTTGGAGCCAAAGTCAGAAATATTTAGTTGTTAGTCTAAACAGCTTAACAACATGAGTTTGAGTTGAATTTCTTTTAATGACACCAATAAACACAAACAAGTAGATGGCACAATAAATTTGCAGACATATACAACCAGCCAATGAATGTAACAATATCAAGAAGTAAATTAAAATTAATTCTAAAACAGTATAAGTGGTCTTTCCAGGGTTCCTAGAAATAACCTAATAAAATCTGTGAAACATGTGTGCACTTTTTTAGATAAACAAATGTATCATAATTTAGAATCTAATTGTTTGAATGTTTTAACATGTACGGGAGCTTGGTCTTCAAATTTCATATAGTCAGCCACTAACAAAGTATATCTGAAATACATACTCTTGACCTTCACATGCATTATGCAAATTCATGCTATGGCGTTTCTAAAGAAAAAATAGTAGCTTAATCTTGTTTTGTTCTGTTTGTTTGGAATTTTTTCTTTAGTAGATTTGTTGTTGCCTTGCTTACCGAGCATCACTCCTTCTAGTATGGCAGAAATACTGAGGTCCAGGTCACATCTCTTAAATAGTTAAGAAAAACTGACATCATTTACTCAATAGTCATGACTTTTAAACTAAGATTTATTATATATAATTTTCAAGTTCAAGAAATGTAAGCAATAACAGTAAAATGAATGAAAAAGGCTAAAGGTTAGCCCTTGTGTCTGAATTTCGAAGCTAAAAAGTATGAAATGATGCCCATGCAGAGCCGCTTTAGTGGGCTCTCTGTGAGTAAATCTATGCCAGTGTTTTCACATTTGCCAAGGCTTAGAAGCATTTGCCTCCAAATGCGCTCTACCCCAATACTAACGTCCACGTCCATCTTCTTCATTATTTGCAGTCAAACACTACTCAGGACACTGAGCAGATAGGTACAACATCTTAGGGTTTATTAAATTTAGATCAGCAGACAAAAATCCTAAACTATGTTGAGAAAAATATGGGAAAAAAAAGCCTTGCCTTGTTTTAAATATTCTCCTTTTTGAAAGAACATGCTAGTAAAACAAACAAACATTGAATTTCTATTATTTTGCACCTGGACAAAGTGACTGAAGTGGCCTGCCGGGGAAAAGTTTAAAGCAAACGCGGCTTTGTGGAGTCCAGTCTAGCTTTTTTTTAGTGGTTCAGTATGTTGTTGCATGATTCCACCTCCCAGGTGACATTTCTGACCCAGAAGCCACATTTACGTTTTCAGGACGTAAATCTGAAAATCTCTTGCAAAAAGAAATCTGGCCAACTTCAAAGTTCCGCCGCCCTTAGAAGGCACACAAAGCACCAAGAAGCTTAGTACTAAACCTAACAAACACAAAATAAATGTAAAAACCAACACTAGTTACCTCAGAATTTGGATTGGATTTTGTTAATGCAGAATTTCCCCAGAAACCTGTAATCAGTGTCTGTTAAATTGCTCCATTACATACAAAGACAGGAGGATTAAAACAATTCAACTAACAGTAACAATCTGAGTTCCATTTTCCTTTGATGGTGTGCCAGAAGTTAAGGAAATCAAGCATAACATTGGCCATGAAGAAAAAAATTGTAATAATCTCACTGGAGGCCAAACAGGAATGGAGAATCACATTTAATGGAGCTGTACAAAGTCATTTATTGTGTGATTTAATATACATTACTGAAATCCTGCGAGCAAGAATTTCATATATATAAAATTTGTAGGCAGTGCATAAAGTATTTTTCAAGTTGTGGAAATTATACTGAGTATGCTAAAAATTCCATCTTCTGTATATGTGCCAGTATTTTGGAAAGTTTAAATCCAATGTTTTTATTTAAATATATTAAAAATCATATGAAAAATAAAAAGTTCTAATGTTTTCCTATTACAATCAAAATGCATACATATCACAAAGGGTCTTATTATTTCTTTTCCTTCTTTTTCTTTTTTCGGGGAGTTTTTGAGACAAGATCTTACTACGCAGTTCAGGCTGGCCTCAAGCTCACTTTGTAGCTCAGGCTGGTCTCGAACTCACAACGATCCTCCTGCCACAGCCTCCCGAGTGCTGGGACTACAGCCATGCACCACCGTGCTCAATTTGGTCCTATCTTTTCTAAATACACTCACCATGACATTGTTCAGCCTTCCTTATTTTTTTCCTCCCAAGAATGCCTACTTTTCATAAATTGCCTTGATTTAGAAAAAGCATCTTTGGGAATCAAAGTTACCAAAGTATAGAAAACTATCTGGCCTAGACAGGAGGAGCCTGCGAGCTGGGAGAGAGCTGTGGGTGGCCACCTGAGAGCTGGAGCACAGCCCCTGGGCCCGTCACACCCAGATTCGCGCCCATAGACTCACCTGCAAGTTTCATGTCCACCATCAACTACCAAGGGGATGTCTAGAGAGGGTTTCTCTGCTTCCAGCCTCACTTAACTTTGAGGGGGAAAGAAAATTTTCCCTCTTTGGGCTCATGTGATGCTGACCTGAGCTGGTACATAGGACACAGCACAACAGGGAGAGAAATTTTAAGTCTCCATTATCAATATACACATGGCAGAAAATAGGAGAGAAGCCCTTTCTTTGCCTGCATCGTTCTGCTGTCATCTAAAGCTCCAGAAAGCGTCCTCAATAGCCTCCAAGCCTCTTGCCACTTAGGCTGGGGCAGTTTTCAAGCTCCCATGAGGTCACAGAGTGGTAGATGAGTTCTGGAAACCCACTGTCTGGCCCTGGCACTGGGAGACCTCTTGGACAGGCAGACATGGTGATCAGGATGAGGAATGAGTCTGAGGGTGGAAAATAAAGTCACTTCTTCACAAAGACACAATTAAATAAGTCAAGATTAATCATGCCAAACTGTGGAGAACAATGAACCTGGGAAGGACCGCAGAAACTTTTCCCTTTGAAGTTTATTCGAAAGCCCAATGACTGTTGTCCTGATACCTTCTTCGCCCAGTGCCAGAAGAACAGTGTCCTGTAACATGTCCATGGTGGGAGCAGCTGTGGCCCACAAGGCCTGTGCAGCTGCTGTAAGTCTAAGGCCTTTCCTCAAACCAGGCTCTCAGCCCAACACAGACAGAGGGACTGCCACATAAACAAAACATCAGCAATCTCTGTCTTATTTTTCTTGTTGCTGAGACAAAATATCTGACACCCAAAATTAAAGGAGAAAAGGTTTGTTTATCTTACAGTTTGTAGAAGTTTCAGTCCATAACTGGCTGGCTCCAAGGCAGGGTGGCACATGACAATGCGGCAGCTGTCCAAGGCAGCAGAAGACAGCAAAAGCAACAAGATAGAGCAAGACAAGCCTATTTCTGTCCCTTATGTGGCATCCAGGATTATATAGTATCTGGGCGGTTTCAATCCAATCGGTGGACCAAACCAGCAGTCGCCTACCCTTAATCCCAGCATTACACGGTGAATCAATCACAGACTCTAGATTCAGTCACCTTCCAAAAATCCAAATGAGACTTTGGGAGGACATCTAGACACAGATCATCACACCCTCCAATATCTTAAAATATATCCATTGTCCTTCCAGTTCACACTGCACTCAGTTTTATAAACCTGGTCTAAGTTTCAGTTATGTCCTGTCTGGATTATTGCAATTTGTTTTACTTCATGCCCTCCTGAGCCTTGATTCTTGGTGCAGTAACAAGAACTCGTCTTTTAAAAGAGTGCAACACCATCTAACTCAAAACCCGCAAGTCCTTCCCCTCTTTACTCAGAATAAAAGTCGAAATATTTGCAATGGCTT